GAGTAGCCGCGGAGCGGCCGATTCGCGACTATGGCTCACTCACGACGACCGAGATTTCCCGGCACGCGTCTCCCGGCGGCTGCTTGAGCGCCACAAACGAGCTTGCGAACGCGCCACTCACTCACGACACCCCGGACACGGGGCTCGCCCTCTCGGCGAGCCGAAATCGACGGAAACGCGGAGCGGATTCTCGCGCCCGACCGACATTTTCTCCGCGTCCAACAACTGAACGTTCACTAGATTCATAACGGTTGCAACGGTTGCAACTTTCAAACGTGAAACCAGCGGCCAATCAGGCTGCGAGCTTTCAAGCATCGATCTTGCAATGGCAAGATCATGCAGCGAGCCTATCTCGTGTAATCATAGGTCTGTTCGTATTGCATGAATACACATATAATATATGGGGTGTGTTCGATTTCACGCATGATGCGCATGATGTTAAGTACAAGAGCATCGCACAAAAATTATACATATTAACATCGATAGCGTACAATAAACGTAACTGAGTTAATAGTTAATCGAAATGCAAATGTCTGAAAAGAATTAAAAATTTAATGTCTAAAGTCAATGTATTTTCACTTATAAATTCCATAAAAAGTATATAAACGTAAAGTCGTAGTCGACTACGTTTCCACCGAGGGTCAGAGTCGGGCTAGAGTCGGGTCAGAATCGGATTGGGGTTTGGTGTTTCCACCGCAAAAACGCTCACCCCGATTCTGATCCGACTCTAGCCCGACTCTGACCACTGACCCTCGGTGGAAACGTAGTCGTCGTAAGAATAGTCAACTACGATTGGTTAATTTTTAAATCTGGGTCTACATAGGATGTAGTAAGTCGTGTTGGAAGAAATTGACCAATCACAGTTCATTATTCTCCTTACGGTCGAAGAATAATGAACTGTGATTGGTCAATTTCTTCCGACACGACTTACGACATCCAATGTAGACCCAGCCAAAGCCTCGTCTACATAGAAGTCGTAAAGTCGTAGTCGTAAGAACAGTCGACTATGATTGCTCAATTCTTATGTGTCTGACGAAATTGACCAATCGCAGTCGATTATTGGCTGCGTTCAGCAGACACAACTGTTGAGTGAGCGCTCAGTGATTTCTTAATATGATTGGCTGGATCTAAGGGTGGAGTCCCATGGAGCGGAATACGCGGAAGCGGAATCAGCGGATCGCCAATCGCAAGATTATTCTGATAGAGCCCTTTCAAAAATTCCGTCGAAACGGTCTTGTGATTGGCGATCCGCTGATTCCGCTTCCGCGTATTCCGCTCCATGGGACTCCACCCTAAAAGCCTGCGTTCGTTTTCTCCCACCGGGAGCATAAACTATACTGAAAGTCTATAATTTACGTAACGTAAACTATAGAGTTTCAGTATAGTTTATGCTCCCAGTGGGAGAAAACGAACGCAAGCAAAGTATTAACCAATCATACTGAGCGCTCACTCAACAGTTGTGTCTGCTGAACGCAGCCATTCTTACGACTGCGACTCTGCGACTCTCATTGCAGACTCCGCATGAAAAGAACAGACCCCGCGCGTGTCTTTGTTTTTCTCTTTCTCGAGTGAGTATAAAGAGAGGGAACGCGTGTGTCGACTGGTGTCGACTCCACGACTGTCGTCAACTGTTCTGTGAGAGGAGTTCAGTGGCGCAGTGCCACCCTTTCCCACAGGCATCGTGTCTTTTCTACCAATTTTACGTACGTACGTCGAGCTTTGTGATCTTCCATCGCGTACTTGGCGCGAGAAATGGAAGACATAGGGTGTTCCCACTGAGCGAGAAAGATTCGAAGGAGGACACCGAGAAAGACGCCGAGAAACTTGACGTCCTTTGATAAGCACTTTACAAGGTTTCTGTAGCGCTCCAGATGGACGAGAAGCAAGCAGAAAGACCGTAAGTTTCGTACACTCGTAGGGCTTACTTGGGTGTAAAGTTCATCGCTGGTTCCAAATGACTAACCTAACCCGCAAATATTAAGATACATTCGACAAGGATGGAAATTACTTTTTTAAGAACGAGATGCGTGCCATTTTTCAGGATTGCTGTGGGCTGTTTAGACAATACTAATGTACCTGTGATAACAGCTGACTTAGAGATGCTCACCATAGACACTAATCCTCCGCCGACGGAAACCAAGAGGGTCCTCAGGAAAAGGTTACCAAAACCCACCTCCACGGAAATCCTCAACCGAAGGTAACAGATGTTGCTTTATATCGGACTGCGATACACTTTTGCATTTGTTTAATAACAATTTGCTGATCAATAAGGTGTAGCCTCAGACCGAAAAAGAGGAGGATCTCCGAGGTGGAGGCACAGGAAGAGACCATCAAAGAGTATTACTCAGACAGGGAAATAAGCAAGAGGTCCAAAAATCTTGAAACGATATACGAGGAGAGCGACAGTGCGGACGACGCCACTGCGATACGTATGAGCGCGAAGAGGTTCAAGAGAATGTTGATGTTCTCCCCCACAGCATCCAAGTTAAAGAAGAGACGCGCGAAGATAAAGAAAGTCTTCGGATCTAAAATTAGGTACAAGAGATGCGGTTCGATGCAGGCTCTTGTAGATAAGTTGAATAGCATAAAAGATAGCTCGCCGATGAAAATCGACGTGAAAAGCGAGCTCAAATGATACCAGATTTCCCTGTGACATGTTTAAATGTCAATGGCATTTTTCTAAGGTGACTTTTATGAGGGACGATACACCCTCCACGTCGGAATTTCGTAACCTGTTTGCTTGTATACTTTCTGCACGCGTGTAAATATAAAGAAAGTTTGTGTTGAAAGCCGAAATCAAAGATGGAATGATTCATTTTGTAACAATATTTCATTAGAGAAACTCGAGTCCTGCATCATAAATTGTTCCGAAAGCGTGTAAGAATCGTAAATGCTGTGTGATGGTTGTATTTCTCTTTACATGTCTGAGACTTGTCCCGCTTATGTTACTAAGCGCAATATACATGTCATATTTGTGAGAAGCAATAATGTATCTTTTATTCCTTTAGGGCTCCTACTTTTTCGTGGTGAGACCACGTTGAATTGAGGCATAGAAAATTGGATAATATATTTTGAGACATCCGAACAATTCCTTTTTTTTAATACATGTAATTCAGTTTAACAATGAGAAAATGAGAACCTTCAACATTGTTCGCACTACATATTGCATTTGCAGTTCAAATTTAATTATTTCAAAATGTTTTATATACATATATTATTAAGTAACAATGGAAACATCTTTTTCTTAAATATATTAAACTTTCCTGTGTAATAAGTGTCTGAAAAGACCACATTAAGTTTTCAATATTAAGAACGAAAGCGAAAAGACTGATCATTTAAGATTGAAATACATTCATTCCTTTAGGAACAAAATGTTTTTGTTTTTTTTAATATCGTGCTTTGTATTACATACGTCATGCGTTATCTTTATGTATTAAAACAGATAAGAGACTTGTAAATCTTATCCATTTTAAGATTAGTGCTAGTATCACTGAGTTTTTATACAAAATCTTGTATTCATCTATACTTTCGTAAAAGGCACTAACTGTAACAAATATAAAATTATAAAAAAATATGAATACATAAAGTTAATGACTTAAATCTATGTATTTTCGCATTGTGATATTATTATATAAAATATAAATGTATCTGAAATTCTGCAGATAAAGACATTGTATAATACTTTCTCCGCGTCATGTGTTATTCGTCTTCAGAGTGCATTTTGTTGCGTGTTCATCACAGCCATTGTATTCTCTCAATCTAGCTTTGTTCTCCTCGTATTCCTTGCTATTCAAATTGATGCAAGCGCATCTAGGCGAACTCTGTCCGCGTGCAGTCTCGAACAACATTCTTGGCACGCCTGCCCAATCTCTGTCAATCCCACCGCTGTTAAACAGAAATTAATAGTGTAAGTGTGCGTTGAAGGATCTACTTATCACGTTTCCAATTTTCTTTTTCAACGTCAGATCTGTTAATGATTCTCTACCTTCTTTTAGTACACCAGAATACAGTACCAGTATCCAGATTCCATTCTACGTTACAAGGTGGGAACATCCTATCCTGTTCCTCCTCCAGTGCTTTCTCCCTTTTGGCAAATAACAGCTTTTCTTGTACCTCGTAAAATTCAGCAGTCGGACTGCCATCTTGATCATAGTATCTACTGTGTAATTTTCCTAAAAGAAAAACACAAAACGCTGTAGAAAGTATCATGTGCCAGTTGATCCACCTCATACCATGTCTACATATCGTACAAAACCGTTTCTTTTGCAGTAAAAAGGAATTAGAACAGAGTGTACCTTTCCTCGTCCTCGCTGAGCAGAGATATCGTGACTTTGGCTTTTAGGATAGAGTTCTGAGATGGATCAACTGCTCCTACGTGCCGTTTAAGTAATTGTACCTTTGTAGATGTAGTTTGCTTTGTAAAATTGCAGCCAGTCGTCCAACGCTTTGACTTGTCGCGGCGATAAACTAGATGTGTCGTCCGTTAAACCTGCAGCATCGAACTCTCCAGTAATAAATGCCAAGGAGGCATCGCGACCTACAAGTAAGCGACGGTAAGTTACAAATGCACGTATGGTTGACGCATGTCTGAATGTCTTTTGACACAAGGAATCCAACCCGTGAAAGCATAGTAATTTTTTCCAGGTCCGTAATGCTTTTCCCCTTTCGTCACATCGAAGACGTGGCCCAAGATCGAGAGGTACAAGCCGTCTTCCAGATTTGTATATCGCTGCAATTCGCTCGTGGTGAACATCCTTTCTGGCCCGCCGGAATTTTCATTCGGTGCAACACGCACCGTGTCAGCTGTATTCAACGTTCCTCCCGTCAAGTGGTACCTGATCTCCTCGATGAAGCCGCGCGAATACAAGAAGTACACGATCATCAATAGCAGCGACAGCCAAAGATATCTGGAGAACATGATTACAGTTTACGAACACTCGAGGATCCTCCGACATGGGCGGGCTCCGATTTTTCCGTCGACTGATTTACCACGTGGGATTGCAGAGCTCTGCATTACCGGCGAGAGTTCTGTCGTACCGATCACGTCGCGTTTTAAACGAGCAATGTTTACAGCGGGGGTTGTGCCGCAAATTTCAAAATTAATCGATTCGGCAGCCTAGAGTTCCGCTTGGGACGTTGAGTGAATAGCGCGTCTTCTCACCTAGAAGGGAAATTTTTTATCTTCGGGGTTGCATCATCCCGCGCGAGGCCCGATAGTTGGGTCTCTGCACAGTATCAACAAATTAAAACTTGCTCATACATTACGACTATTGGTTAGACGTGGCCGTATTGGATCCGGATGGACCCAGGAGCCAACAAATTTACCAATAAGACAATAAGATTCAGCAGCCTCGTCTGTGATACGATCAATGGCTCCCTCCAACTCTGCCTTCCAGCTCGTGTCCGCAGAATTAAATAGATAATTGAAGATTCCAATTTCAATTAGTATAATTGATACCGAAATTTTAACTGCAATAACTTGTTCTTCTATTCCTGTGTTTCCACGCCTCGTTAAAAAATAATAGAATCTGATCGGATTAGTGTACATGCAATTTTAATGTAAATTAATTGCATGTAATTTAATGTAATCTGATCACATTCTATCTAATCTTTTTAACAGGGCGTAGCTTAAGTTGGACAATCGGCGAAAATATATAATAATAGATGGAAAATTGATTGTTAGACCGTGTAATCGTTGCGAAAAAAAAGATTTGTCATTGAATTTGGACGTTGAAAACTAACGGTCCCACATTAGAATCCTATCTCATAATAGTGGACTTTCCTCTACACAATTAGACTACACAATTAGAGAATAAAAACAACAAGAGAGTTTTAATTCATTAAGATAATCGGTCTCGAAACAAGCTAAGACCTGTTCTCCATACTTTCGATCCGATTTCTGTTCAGCTTTCTGGATCTTGCCGATGTCACGCGCTGAAACGCGCTTTCAATCGGCCCGGGCGTTTTATCATGATTGATAAACGGCGCGCACACGTTTGACGCTTGGGTCTACAAATCTTGCTTCTGCCAGCTGATATTGCAGTAGCACCAGACGGTCTCGGTGAATGACGTCTAGAGGCTGGTGGACGGTGGTCACGCTTGGCTAACCAAGACAATCGGGATCAACGGTCAGTCGCGCGCCAGCGTGTATCCTCGTTGCACCGGGAGTCGCGCGCCCTCGCGACTTTCCTCGTGCTTTCTATCATCCGCGTCGCGTCATTTCGCTCTTCGATGCGGCTTGTAAGTGGCCTGCTCTATCGCGTCCCAGTTTGGAAATTGTGACCGTCGGCTTCTCGTAATTAATACACCGGCGTGTATTTACTTGGACGCCCGCGACTGCAACTCCGCTTCGCGCGGCTCCTTATTTCGTCATTTGTCGTGAAATCAATTTAACGGAGTCTGCATACGTTTAATTGCGAGAGGCCAACGAGACGCGATGGGGAGGGAGTTTGGTTCTGCTTCGTGACAAAATTTCGGAATAAACATTGCACGGGTACGTAATTACTCGGAGAAATTGCTGAGTTACATTTACTTAATTCTAACTTTGCATTTTGTGAAAGGCAGCGATATTTAGAGGAAAAACAATTAAAGAAGAAGTTAAGAAACGGAAAGTGTTTCCGTTTGCTGAAACACGAGTCTCAATAGCGTCTAGTCTTGCTCGAAGAAACAACCTCTCCCTTGATTTCTTTTCCTCAGCAAAAACCGGTAACGCAATTTCGCCGGAGCAAACGGTCTCCTATGCCTTAATTTCTATTTCTGAATGCGCAAATTGTTTCGCTTATAGAAATCAAGCTTGGCAAAGTTGCCATCGTAGACGCGACAGATCACCAGGTACCTTCGTCCTGCTCGAGACGCCACGTATCTTCGCGATACACCTTCGCGAAAGAAAGGCACCGTCGCGCCGATAAGAGCCAAGAATTCAATCTGTCCCGGCCAGTAGTTGCTCAACGCACACTCGGGATAGAATGAACAACGGCAGGCATTATGCGCAACTTACCGCGGCTCGCGTTCCTCCTGTTCGCCGGTACGGTGGCTGTGGTTTTCTGCACGCTGCTGCTGTTCCCGGGCTTCCTCGCCGCCGACAAGAGGTCTTCCGCGTCGCGGAGGGAACAGGTGTCCACAAGCGAGGAAAAAGAAGAAAATAAAAGATCCGTGCCTGATGCGCGACAGCAGTTCGCGAGGATGGCGTTTCTGGACGCGCACCTCCTGGGACGAGGCTTCACCGACGAACAGGTGAAATGTCGCCACCACCTCGTATCGCTATTTAGACCCGGTTTCGCCAACGCTGTTTAACTTTAAAATCAGCTTAATTCGTTCTTTGTCTCTTGTCAACTGTTACTTCAGGAAGAGACAAACGTGAATTAAACTAAGATTAACGTTAAGCGACGTTTGGTGAAATCGGGCCTTATGCCCAGCGAGAAATGACTCGTCGATCGATGTCGAATCGATGTTGACACCGTCAAATTGACGTCGATTTGACATCGTTTCGACATCGATCGACGAGTCATTTCTCGCTGGGTATAAGGTTTCACCAAACGTCGCTTAACTTTAAGCTTATATACAATTAGATTAATTCATTCTTCGTCTCTCTCCAACTGTTACTTCAGAAAGAGATAAACGCGAATTAAACTAAGATTAAAGTTAAGCGACGTTCGGTGAAGCCGGGCCTTGGTCTTATATTTGTTCGCTATACGGGAGAAAAACTTGGATAAGTGTTGCGATACGTCTTCTTCAGGTAAAGAATATGTCTCCCCTCGGGAAATGGTTATTGGCGCCGGAAGGGAGTCCACCCCCGCGATCGAACGCCGCCAATAAAACCTACTTGATCCTGATCTGGAAGCACGGGCAGTTCCTGGAACGCAGGCACATCAAACGTTTCACGTCTACCAAGTCAGCAAGCTTTAAATTCTTTAACGCTTTTTTCTTTTTACCTTTCAAAGTAATACGAGAGCTCACGAGGACAGATCTTCACGCGACGTAATGTTTAACTAAAGTATATTCGCAGTACTAATTTCGACCATTGCATAAATCTCCTTCAAAATGGTATTGATTACTTTATCTTTTATCTATTCTTGTCTTATCAGTGGGCGCGATTGTTATTCATACATTAGCTCGAAGCAAATTTAGCTCGAAGTCTATTTTGTGAAGATAAATTCGTTTTATCGATAGGAAATCGTGTCAACCCTCGTCAGCTCTCGCATTACTTTGAGTATCCCTGTTTGAAGTTACTCTGTTTAAAAAAAAAATAGTATCGATAAGACCGACAGATTACGGCAGCGATTTACAGAATCGCGCGTTTCAGGTTTTCACCGTGGGACCAGTGTTCAGTGCGGAATTGCATTCTGAGCTACGACGAGAAGGATCTGCATCGAGCGGACGCCGTGGTGTTCCACTTGCACTTCACGAGGAGTCCGTCCGAGTTACCGGCGAGGAACCGGGCGGATCAACGGTGGATCTTCCTCACGGACGAGTCGCCCTATCACACGTTTTTGCACAGTCATCAGAAACTCTCCAGCTACGACGGCCTGTTCAACTGGTCCATGTCCTACCGGATGGACAGCGACGTGCCGATTCCCTACGGAAGAACGACACTGGTCCCCGGCAAATTTTCAACCAAAGACTGGGACGCTGTCGTGAGAACCACCAAGACCAAACTGGTCGCGATAATGGGCAGTAACTGCGGCGGCCGTAACGGACGGTGGTCCTACGTGAAAGCACTCAAGTCGTCGCTCCGCGGCGACCTGGACATCCTCGGCAGATGCCTGGACGGCAACAGGACCGTCTGCCCCGGCCACTTCGACCGGAACTGCGTCGCCCTGGGCGCGTACAAGTTCTACCTGTCGTTCGAGAACTCCAACTGCCGGGAGTACCTGACGGAGAAGGTGTTCTGGAACGCGTACCGCAAGTTCGCGGTACCGATAATAATGGGAGCGTCGCGGCAGGACTGCCAGCGACTGCTGCCGCCGCGCTCCTTCCTCTACGTGGACGACTTCGCGGACGCGAACACGCTCGCCAGCTACCTCAGGTATCTGGACCGCGACGACGAGCGTTACCTCGGCTACCACGAGTGGCGTGATCGCTACCGGGTGGTCAACGAGCACGGCTATTTCGGCAGCACCTCCAAGCACTACTGTCGCATTTGCGAGGCGTTGCATTACAACCCGGCCGTGCCGAAGGTCTACGCGAGACTCGAGCACTTTTGGAGCAAGGAGAAGGACTGCGCTCCGGCGAGCGCTTAGATTGTTCTCTATCGATCTATCAGATCGATCATCTAGTCTTTGTCAAGTGTAGTTGAATTACAAATGAACCTTTCGTCAGTGAACCTGGGAACTTTATGGACGGTTAGTACCGGTTTAACGTTGAACCGTCCTTCAAAGGAATTAAGTTATAGAGATTGCGGAGAAAAGGACGAGATAATTATCATAAATTGTTAATTATTATTACAGTCAGTTGTTCATATTGATAAAGAAATGCATTTCTTCTCGGTAACTAAGTACGTGTTTAAAAAGTTTAAACGATCTATTACAAAACTTGGAATCTTCGCTGAAGGAAGATTAATTTTTGTGTTCCGTTTTTAATTATTTATGAATTCTTACATTAGCTATATTTGTCTAACAAATCTGAAAGAAGAACTCCGCAACGCGTTGTACAGAAAATTTCAGTTCATCCGACTTTCGCTGGAAAACGATGGATATTCAACGAGTGTCGCGCATCTCCAAAAAGGCCCGAAGCTGATTCCCTATGCAACCGGATCTAAAATCGCGGAAAGCGACTGCGTAAAAACCGTCAAAGATTTGTGAACAAGCGGACGGTAACCACCGGTTGATAATTTGCCGGGTTGCGATAAAACAAAATAAAAAATTGTATTAATATTTTAATATACGTATACTTCTTAGGCCAAACGCTGTTTAACTTTAAGCTTAGCTTCATTCGTTCTTTGTCTCTTTTAAACTGTTACTGCAGAAAGAGACAAACGTGAATTAAACTAAAATTTTTATAAGCTCCCCAGAAGCTTCTCGGGAGTTCCCCGTGCTGTGTGGGAAGTTACAGTTACAGATAGAAAGTAACGAAGTTAAAGCCAACGGCACGATACTATTTTGCCTACTGGATTGTTTATGAGAGCCAATCAGAATTTAGCTTTAAGTCACCTGATCTGAAGCCAACGGCACACAATACTATTTTTCCTACTGGATTGCTTACGAGAACCAATAAGAATGCAGTGTTTCAGACCAGGTAACTTAAGGCTAAATCCTGATTAAATTCCGCATCCTGATTGGCTCTCGTAAGCAAACCAGCAGGAAAATAGTATCGTGTGCCTTTGGCTTAAGTTAGTTATTTAAAAAAAGTAACTGTAACTGTAACTTCGTTACAAGCAACGAGTTACTTGCCAACTCTACCGTTACGTAAAGTGCATACAGAAATTGAAATGTCACTCTCGCGCGCGCAACAGATTCATACTTGCCGCCTAAAATGAAAAAAATTTTATACGATATCTTTCCGATTTAACGCGCGAGAGCCGCGACGCAGTTTACCGAAACTCTCCTCGGGGAAAAATCTTGAGTCGATGCGAAATGCATCCGGGAGAAAATACCTCGTTTACGCGGCGGAGTCGTTCAAACGCGGGACGTTCGTCGAACCCCCGATAGGATCCTTCGGGTTTCATCGTGGAGGTAGAGCCGCCGCCCGTTGCGTCTACGGGCGAGGGAGGCGCGGTAGGGATCGCGATTGGGAGGAAAAGAAAGCGACGAGAAAGGGAGAGAGAAGCGCGATGCAACGCGCGAGAAACGGTGACGCGTCGACGTCGTCACCGGCTGAGAGAGAGACGGTGGCGCGGACGAAACCGCGGGGCGGAAGTAGAGAAGCGATAGACGGCGACTCCGTACGTTGCAAATGGCAGACGGTGCGTGGTGTACCTCGGTGCCGAACCGTCACCTCGTTAGCCTTGCATTCCGCCGTCACGGTCCGTTTGTCGACGAGGAGGCGAACGCAGCCGCCCCCGTACCTGCCCGACGCGTCACGTCGTATACGTAGGTCACGTTAATCCGGATCCCCCGGCCCGCAGGGAGGAAGCGGCCGGCGAGCGAGCGAGCGAGCGAACGCCTTGCAAAGAGATCGCGACGAGGAGATTCGGAACCAGGACGACCCGGGCGGCCCAAGTGCACGATGGCGAGGCTGGTCAACGTCTGGCGGGACGACAGTCCCGCGGAGCTGGCGAGCAAGCAAATGCCGCTGATCGTCGACGAGAACTTGACGGTGAGCGCGCGCGCACTCCCGCCCGCGCCCGCGCGCACGCGACGCCGATCTCTGTCGACCGGCGCGTGAATCCTGGGGCACGACGCCCTTTAACCTGAGCACGTCGAGGGGGTGGGAGAGAAAAAAAAAAGAAACTGGAATGTTGGACCGCGACGATCGACCGTCGATCGTCCGTTGTCTGAGCGTTTTCGCCGACTGCGATAGAGCGAGGCCAACTCGCTCTCGTACTTGCGTCATACGTTATTTTCCTCAACGATTTCTCGGTTTCTGTTTAGCCAATTCGATTGTCAACTTTCGCACGAGGGAGATGAAGTAGTAGCATTGTCGCGGGTTATTTTCGTTGTTTGAATATCCCTTGCCGAGAGTACCCTACCTTCTGACTTTGAGTTGCCATCGTACCGAATGTGCTTTATTGCTCGACGATTTCTACCATGGGACTTATTTGTCGCTGTGTGCCCTTAGATGATCATGGATATAAGTGGTCTGGGAGCCATCTGTAATAGTCCCCTGATCAACGGTAAGCAGCTAGAAGAGTTTACTAAAAAGTTCGCTTTGCTTACGACGGAAGAAATCAAGGCGTCCTGCGAAGTGACTCGCAAGCATATAATTGACATTTTGAACGAGGCGGAACCATGCGTCGGCTGTCGAAGAAGGTAATATTCTCTCTCTCTCTCTTTTTCTCTCGCTCTCGTTAGAATAACTAGAAATAATGTTTTATTAGAATAGTAGAGGAAAGCCCTCTATTATGATAGACCTCTAATACGAGATAACAGGTTTTTAACATCCAAATTTAATTGCAACGATTACATGATCTAACAATCAATTTGCTACTAAACAGTTTTCGCTCCAAGGGCAATAAATTCACGATGAGACCAATAGGCGATGCCTATTAATTTAGCAAAAACCCAGCTATCTCATAACAGGGGGTTATGTATTGTATACTGCTGTTGTACCCTTAAACGATAATAATATATTCTGCTTTCAGTGTTGAAAGATTGTTCTATGATCTAATGAAGTCGGGGCATCCCGCACTGGACCCGCTAGTTATCACTCCTAACGGTATGCTCTCCATAAAAGATGACGTTCTGAAGTCGCCCCAGCAGCTCTGTACGCTATTGCATGGACACAGGTGCGGACAAGCAGAGAGAACATTATTTTAGGCCCGCGTATGGGAGAGTTATCGTTATCTTCATTTCCGCAGCACTAGGTTAAATAATTTAATGGAAAAGCAGCAGAGAAATAGGAAATCTCGGCGATGCGTGCTGCACACCTTGGAGATTCAGCGGTTGCCGCCGATCTGGAACTCGTGGAGGGAAGTGTGGGATTGCATGGAGCTACCGTGCCGGCAGGAATTGACTCTGATAGAGACCGATACGCTTGACGAAGCTTTAGATACTTATCTACGTAAACATAGGTGCGTAGCCTCACGTGGCTCGCTCCGCACGACTCTTCCGTAACACCGTTTGTGATTGTCAGGTTTTGCACCGAGTGCCGCAACAAAGTGTTATTGGCGTCGTCTCTTCTGACACGAGAGCCCGAGCCTACGAAAGAAAAGGGTTACGTAGCGGTTTTATATTCCGGAATTAAGCGTTGCATAGCCGACCATCACGTTCATCTACCGCCCATCACGGAATATATGACTACTCTTCTTGGTCGTGCGCAACCGTGGGCGCTTATGGGAAGGTACCGGCTGTCGCGGGTGCACGTGTTCTTCGAAATACAACGTTATGAAATGACTAACGAGAGGCGTTTCCGAATTTTTCAGGGAGCGCCATGCGAAAACGCTGGAAATTGCTCAAGAAGAGGTACTTACGTGCTTAGGTATATGTATCGCGGAACGACTGCACAGAATACATCGGCGAATGAAGGAGGAGGAGACCGTGTGTAAAGTATTGGCTGCTGTTGCGGTGGACGCGCTGTCCAGAAATTTCCGGGTAACAAGATTTTGTTATAATATCATCTGTCTAGTTAATATCGGAAAATCCACATTTTCGCAATGGATCATTCTGCAGCGAAGCTATTTTGTTCTGATGTTTAGGTGGCGGTCGAGGCGAAACAAGGTATCTCTCAGTTGGAATTGTTATTCGAGGAACTCACGAGGGAAGAAATAGCGAAACAGAACAAACGTGAAAAGTTACGTCTTAAACGTAGGAAGAAGAAGGAACGTCGCAACGAAACAGAGGAGAAGGAAAACTCCTGTGATGTATGTTATATTTGTGTGAAAAACGTTTCTTTAAAGACTCGTTGATTTTTAACTTCTTACGGGAAATGTTTATGTAAGTAAAGTTAACGTGCTTGTCCACACATGACTAAGCTGTATGCTTTACCATAGTGTTCGAATGAGAGGCAAACTGAGTCCCCTTGTATTTGTACGGAATCAAAGCCGACGACACAGATCAATCGACATAAGGTGTGAAAGCAAATATTATATACTTGCGTCTCTGTATATCTCTGTATTCTACCCTCTTTGATCTTAGTTGCAGGTGCTAGATCCAAAAAACAAAGGTCTACCGACATGTAAATGTCCGGATTGTATAAACAAGCAGAACACGCCTAGTATATCACAATCGCGAAGTAAGACGGAATTAGTATTCACTACGAAAAAGGGCCTACAAAAAGTTATATTACAAAATGCCATCTCTCAAACAAAGAAAAAACTTAATACGAGTCAATCGAAACAGAGTAATACGCCTTGCAAACAATTCTCTCGGAAGGATTCGTCCGACGTTTGCGAGTTGTGTAAGGTAATTACAATCGTCAGTTTTGTATAGCTGTCGTGGATGTGAATCGAGTTTTCTAAAATGAAACGTTTCGATGTGTTTTCTCCAAGGGCGGCGAGAAGATCGATGAAAATCATTGGCATTATGATGACGATTGCAAAGATTCCGTGACTAATGAACTGGTAGATGCTTGGATCACGGGACCTAAAACTAAATATATGTGGATAGGGATGAAACGTTTTGAGATGTCCGAGAGAAAAAATCATTCCTCAAGCGAGCAGTCGTCTCAGGATTGCGGATACTCTTCCGAACACAATATCAGCAACTCTTCTCTTCCCAGCACACCGGAAGGCTCTGAAGTAGCTTGCAACGACGAATGGTGTGATCACGAAGGGGCTTGTCACGATAAACTTACTCATTCCAGTTCCAGCATCTCTTTATTGCAAGAGGGAGGTCCGACACTTACGCAAATGTTAAAGGTAAATTTGAGATGCAAGATTTATTTCTTAACGCCCAAACGTACGGAAAAACTTAAGCACTAATCAAGGGAAGTTGGCCAGTGACGAGTCGAGAATGTAAACAATCATTTGCAAACTCAAATTCCGCTAAAAATTCCAACCCCTCATCGTAAAAATTCACAATGAGCCTCGGATAGAGGCAACTTGTTGTGAAGGCCAGAGTCCACTTGGGGCTGTAGAGCCGGTTATGATGATGATGACCGCATACTTTTGCACTGTAGTGTTTGTCATGTCTGTCTGCACTCTCTATTCTTGTGTATACCAGTTCGGTGTAGTCCAGTGGCTCAATCAGTGAATCTTTTCCTCTAAAACTCGTGAAAAGTAAAATACTTTCATTGAAGAATTCACGAGATCACTCTAGAAAGAAAAATGCATGGTCAAGTGTAGGAATAAAAATCCCATATTCTAAAATATAAAAAAACTTGTTTTCTGTGTTAAAACAATTTAAATTCGGCAAATTTGTTTAATCCTCAGGATTCCTATTTTTCTGACGACGACGAGAAGGAAAGTTATATTCCAGCGGAGGAAGTATTAGAATTCAAATCGAGGATATGTCAACTCGCGGAGAAGCGGCTAGAACTTCGACAAACTCTTAGAGAACGTTTTGCCATGTTGTGCAGCCATCAGAAACTACTTAGCGTTCTTCACTAAGAATTCCTACTAGTTATGGTAATATATCTCAGTCTTTCTGTTTTTTTTTTGTACTTTTATTTACTGTCAGTAGCGAGACACGAATATAATAGATGTATTTTGAGGAAATTGTTATCATTCGAAGTCGACCTTCTGATGTGAATAAAATGCTGATTACGTGTACATCAGAAAGCCAAAAACATACAATGATGCTATTTATCTTTACGAGCGAATTAACTGCATCCGATAAAACTTACCGAGAAATTAGTTTCGTATACGACAATTGAACAGTGATGTCGACTTTGAGAAAAGTGTAGAATATACAACGCAAATCGAAATAACGATGAAGCTAGTATACGGAGCAACTTGAATCTTAATGTATAACGTGAAATTAATTGTATAGATCTTTGCAGTTTAAGCAAATGTAGGTATCTTGAATGAATATGCCTTGGCCGTGAAAATATGGCAGATCCGATTTCGCATCGACATGCAAGTTGTTAAAGACGAGTTTTTCAGTAATTAAAAGTATTGTATTTTCTTGAAAATTTTTATTTTCGAGATTGTTTACGGACGATACGACTACGGCTCGTGTCGACGTAGTAATAAGCAGAGACGCGATGTAATATTGTCGGAAACTTGATATTAAAATCAATGTTGCATTCCATTATAATATATATACATATATTTTATTATTCCGATGTATATCCTCTTTGTGTAACTTCCATTACACGCACTGTAAAAATATTCTACAAAAAAAATTATTGTCGTAAATCTCGTACACATATATTGTATGTTGCATAAAAGTTATTAAAAATATTTAAGCCGCTAACTGGTAATTAGTTATGTAAACTTCGTCACCGAAGTTGCTTCTCTTGGCTTACTTCTATACATATGTACATGCGGGAGCATCATTACCTCTTCTACGTGTTCTTTTGTGAATACTTCTTCACTTTAGTCAATGTGCGTTTCGAGGAATGACTAGTAATTAATTTTTATCAGTGTTGCGTTTACGTTTATCGTAACTCCAAACCCGGTTGACTTTTTTCTTTTTCCTTCTAGACATGGATTTGCATCTTTATGGGGACACACACTTTATTTTTGTCAGACTATGAGAAGATGCGATATAAGATTGTATTATAAAACACTCTCTTCCATCTTCTTAAGTAATAACTTTCGTTCTCCACCTTTTCATTATTGAAGTCCTTTCGCAGGCATTTCAAAGAGCGATTACGATATTCTCTCGCCAAAGAAATAGAATACAGCAAGAGATCCTTGTCAAGCCTAGTCGACGTATTGCGCGAAGCACAGGCACGCGTTCGTCCCGCCGAAGCCGAACGCGTTTTTTAGTGCCGTTCGACGCGTCGTCGTCGCGTCCCACCTTACTTTCGTATGTGGCGCAAACCTCAAACACGTCTCCATGTCCAAGTTGTGCAGGTTCAACGTAGGCGGTATGACGCCCTCCTTGATCGCCAGGATCGTGAAGGCGGCCTCCAGATTACCGGCGGCACCCAGCAGATGACCGTGCGCCCCCTTCGTGCTCGTCACCGTCACATTTTTACTGTGCCCGCCCATCAGCGACTCGATCGCCCGCACCTCGATCGCGTCGCCCAACGGCGTGGACGTGGCGTGCGCGTTCACGTGCGTCACCTCCGAGGTCTCGATGCCGGCGTCCTTCAGCGTCCGGTCCATCGCTAGCAGCGCGCCGATGCCGTCCTCGCTGGGCGCAGTTATATGCGACGCGTCGCCGGACAGGCCGTAGCCCAGCACCTCCGCGTAAATCGGCGCGTCCCGGGCGAGCGCGTGGCTCAGCTCCTCCAGGACCAGTATCGCGGCGCCCTCGCCCATGACGAAGCCGTCGCGGTCGTGGTCGAAGGGCCGCGACGCTTCCCGCGGCATGTCGTTCTTCGACGTGCTCAGCGCGCGCAGCCGGCAGAACGCGGCTATGGCCAGGGGACTGATGCACGCCTCCGCACCGCCGCACACCATTACGCTCGTCTCGCCACCGCGAATGAAGCGGAACGCGTCGCCTGGAAGATAAAACTGTCGTTACGACTCTCGGGAAGGAGTGTTGATCAGAGAATCCGTCTCGCTTTTGCCAAACAATTACCAATAGCGTGCGCGCCCGTCGCGCACGCGGTCGACACCGAGTGATTGGGCCCGCGGAAGCCGTACTTGATGCTGATCTGACCGGCGGCCATATTCGGCAGTATCCTCGGCACGAAGAACGGACTGACCTTGCTGTAGCCCTTCTTCAGAGCCTCGTACGTCATGCACACGTCCACCAGGTCTATCATGCCGATCCCCACCGAGACCCCGGTGTCGCGCTTATCGGCCTCGTCGGTCGGCTTCCACCTCGCGTCTGCGAGCGCCTCCTCCGAGGCTATCAGCGCGTACGCGGTGGCAGGGCACACCGTGCGTAGCTCGCTCTTTGTAAAGTGGAAGTCGACATTGAGCTCGTGAGGAGAGTCTCCTTTCGGCACCAATGCGGCTGACAATATAAATACATATGAATTAATTGTTACGCAATTCTTCTCGCACGCTACAGTTCGGGCAATTATAATAGCAGGTGCTCCGAGTCGACAATAAATGCACGAGGCTCTGACTTGTTGATAACAAAACCGAAGGAACAAGAGAACCAAGAGCCGTGACAGCGTCTCTAAATAGTTTTATCATAAAGTTACTTTTCGCGAAAAATGTTACCTCAACTTTAAAGGCTCTAAGGGTCCCTTGTTCCCTCCAAGTCGGATTCTCTTTACGTACAGAACAGTCGTGGACAAATTCCATAGGTCTTCATGTTACGTCGGCGAATGTCAAAGTACTCACCCACTTTACACGGTAGCTTGTCGTAGTCCGGCTGGGCGAGCCGCGTGATTCCGCACTTGGAGTCGACGAGGGCCTCCCAGGCGTTGCGCGTCCCGACTCCCAGCGGGCACACGGTCCCTATCCCGGTCACGACGACGCGCCGCTTGGACCTCGCCGCGGTCACCAACGACCGCCGGCTGACGTGCAAAAGCGGAATGGACATCGCGATTTTCGAGAATCCCGAGTGCGACGCCTCCCGCAGGCGCTTCCCGACGATCAACTCAAGCTGCGTTCCGTCAATAATCGGCCCGTCATGATCGTCGGGGCACAAAAAAGTCCTTTACTGGCCGCGCACCGTGAGAGCAGCCACGTTGAGGTTATGTCACGTTGCACCTGTTTACCAAAACGAAGAGGCGAGTAAAGATATTACAGGCGCCCTGCCTTACCGACGATAATTTTTGCAAGATTTCTTATCCCACGTTCAGAATCTACGGAGAGAAAAAAGAAGAGGAATTGAAAGTCTTCCATGCGCTTCCCCTTTGTTGATGCTGTTTGGAGCTTGGAAAATATTGCAAGTTATGCGAAGTGATTGGAAAAACATCTAAAATATAGAGGAAAGGCCCCGAGATAGACTCCTAGAATGTAAGCGAGTTTTCAATTTCACAAATCTTTTTTTTGCTCCATTTAGAAGCTCGATTTCTAGATCGTGTATGTTGTTGCAAAGTAGTTCCGTTTGGAACGTGGAGTGTACACGTCTTTTAACCTAGAAGAAAAATTTTTGATCCCGCGCGAGGCCCGATAGTCGGGCCCCTGCATCGTATAATACTATCAATTAATCATCTATAATTCTACAACGCCTATCGGTTCGAAGTAATAGTCTCATTATTAACAGTAAACGAGGCGCAGTAAAATAGTATAAGCGAGAAAATACGATTAAAAACTTTATTTTGGTTTGCTTTGTAATTGGGAAAAATATATATATATATTTATACATATATATATGTTGTATGTACCTGTAGGAACTTTGGGCTACAGATTATGTCGAGGACAGTCGTTTAGGGTAACATATTAATTTAAAAAAATGTAAAACATGTGTGAATAACGTCACCAACGGAATAAAAAAAATCGTCTTACTGCTACACTAAAACTAACGGTTTTTTTTGTTAAATTTAAATGTACATTACGCATTGGTAACAAATATTAAATGTTGCGTGTATGATACGTTCGTTTCAATATTCAAAGGCCTGATTCGTACTCACGCGGTCTGCGATTCACGCGTGGAACTCGCGTAAATCACGAAAGGAGAAGAAAATGACCGGACAGAGCTTCAAGTGATTGTTTGAGAAAACATTTTAAAGAAACTGAAGTTACATGGAGAAAGGAAGAACGAGCGAGCGAACCAGAGAGAAAGTGTCCATTTTATTTTTGTAATATACGATTTGTAGAATAAAATCTAATTTACTGCAATGTATTCGCACAATGCAAAATTCATATATACATATATAAAACGATTTATATCAACGACATATATACATAGACCAAGCATTCTTATGCTTTTGCCGTGGAAGGAGTTGAAGAGAGAAATAGTTGATTTGCGTGTACTGTTTTCTCACTCTAATACGTACACAATAGCGTGGAGAAGAATGCTTAGTATCGTACCTCTGCATCTCCCACATCGCAGTGTTTTAGCGGTTAATTTGGTACCACATAACCCGGCTCTTCCTCCGAAGAGTCAGTCGGGTTTCCGAAGGGATTTCCACCACGTAAAAAAAAATACGTATATAGCATAGAAATATTAACCATAGACTGCTTACGAGTGGGGGCATCCTCCTGAGGGAAAAGGATAGTATGAATTTATTTGGGTATACCTTTCTCTGACTTTTACTCACTAGAGAAAAATGAACACTCAAATTGATTCATACTATCCTTTTCCCTCAGGAGGATGCACCCACTTACGGTCCCACTACCTCATAAGGCTAATATTACATTTGTCGTACAAATTTTTCAAGCATGTCGATTGGTTAGACATGCTCTTGGTTGAGATAGAAAAGTTCTTGAGTCTCTAGAAATGATCTATTCTGCCAATTGACACACTTGAAAACTCTGTCGCACGACAAATTTTTTAAACGCATTGATTAGCTACAAACTAGAAAATTTTTAGATACTCGAGAACGTTTCTAATCTGCATATAATGACAGGCATTACAATTGTCGCACAACAATTTTTCAAGCGTGTTGATTGGCTGCAGGATAGAAAAATTGTAATAGTACTTTAAGCAGTCTATGATTAATGTCTACGACATGTAGCGACTCTTGACAGCAGTCATATTTCTAAATTAGAGTGAGAGAGCAGTGGACGCATAACAGCCTTCTCACTCAGATTTCCGGTCTATGTACATATGTCGTTGATTTATGTATGCGTATGTACAAAACAAGGTGTTACTATATGCAAATATACAAGTATATGTTGGATATTCAATTTTCGCTTTTTGTTTCTTGGTCAAATGCTCTGTCTAGTACTTTCTCTACTGCCTACAATATGAAATAAAGGGAAAAAAGAACAGAATAAAATTTAAACTACATATAAAAAAAATACTCAAGTTATTTAATTAACTTGAGCGTTCATTTTAAAGTCAATTATGGAAAACGAATCTTACATATGGAGGCGGATTGAGTAATCTAAAAATATTCATATCCCTACAGATGTGTAACTTGAAACAATTGTATATTATTTGCGAACAAAGTCTAATAAAATTTGTCATAGTACAAATAATTTTATCTGAAATTTGTTATAACAATTTTATAATCTTATTATAACAAATTGTATTTTATTACATTAGTCCTATTATGACAAATATTACTTTTATGTTGTTGTTCAAAAAGTTAAACTTCAAAATCTAAAATTTCTGTTTTCTAATAAATGGTAAAAAAAATCTTTCGAAACTATATATCTTTTTCAAAGCTATGGTCTCAATCGGCCCCCGATCTTACAATGGCACGCGATTAATCGACTTTCTAAAATTCGACACTGTGTGAATAATAACTCTCTTAAATAGTATAAAATTATATACAGCATCGCGTTACTCAGTATTGTGCTCCACTTTCACAAAACGCCTCGGGAATCACTTATTCCCTTTGTCTGCTCGTTTTTCGAACACTCGAAAACTCTCGACTAGTGTATGTAATAAAGTCTAAAAGAAAAGGAATTATACATAACACACGAGGCTCGTTAATTAATGGCATCAAATATTGTTAATGTTCGTCATTGAAAGAAGACAATTTTTATTCATCTAAAGCTCGAGTAAAGTGCAAGAAATTTCACGAATTCGTCCCGCGAGCAGAACGTGATAGCGTGGAACCTCCTTTGAGATGGGAGATCGGTAAATGCTCGTGACAAATAGGACAATATCATCCATCTGTTTTGACAATAATCTTTCCGCTGCTGTATTAATACGACAAACGCACAGTGACCCCTCTTTGATTCTTTCTCCGCATCTCATTTGTCGCTCTATATGAATTATATCCATGAACCTCTTTCCTTGACTAGATTCGTACTCGGTTATCCTTCTTGCCTGATGCCATTGTACACACCGGGCGTGCGGAGTCTCCGGACGTTAAACGTTGTTCTTTGTCTTGATATTCTCGGGCTCCGGCGGACAGTGATCGGAGTGCGTTGCCCACGCAGCGAGCTGTCGATATTAATACATTATCATTAATGATCATTAATGAAAATGTAAATGTAAATTGTAAATATGTGGGAATGTGTCACTTGACATGACATGTACCTGACATGAACGACTACAGTACCACTGATTTCCGCATCCGGCGCAAACGAACTGTGCGGGTCGAGCTATACAACCCTGACATCTGGGCGGGGCGCTTGGTGAAGGTGGATTGTCCTTTACTACTTGTTTGCTATCTCTTCCGACTACAGAGTTCCCTTTTCTGTCGTCAATTACAGTTGTTTCTTCTTCCACATCCTCCTGAAAGTTCAACGGAACCGTGTCCAGAGATCAAACGTACGCAACAGCATGTTATTAACAAATTGAAAAAGAAACTTACCACTTGAATTAAATCGTTAGAGTGAGATTGCGCGGGAGGGTTAACAACAGGGGTTATAGTTATCTCTGTGCGAGCCTGAAAAAAAGTGTCTTTAGTTAGTTTCGTAAAGAAAAATCTCTTATCTACCTACTGACTCGCCCAAAAGTTTTTCAAACACGCACCCCCCGAAAACTCGTATTATTTATTTATGAATTATTTTTATACTTTATTCCTATTTATTTATATAAAGTATAGAAAACCGAGTTATGTCGCTGCTATTCGAGTGATGCAACAGTCATTATTTGAAAGAAACTTAGAAACGGCGGTATTCTATGTCAATGTGACTTGCGAAAAAGAAAAGTAATAATTATAAGGACTAAAAAAGTAAAGAACCTTGGAAGAAGATAGGAGCTCATTTATAGAAACCATATTAGAGCCTTGGTATGTCTGCAAAAGGTGCTGGGTCGTGCTTTGCTGCGACGCTGATGCTGACGCTGATGCCGACGCTGAAGCTGACGCCGCTGCCGCCGCCGCCGCCGCCGCCGCCGCGGCAGGAGAACTCCTTTCTCTTTCAGGCGCGGTGAGTAATCTCGCTAAAGTAGGTGAAAAAGTCGTGGATCTCGGTGTTTGCGCTTTTGTTAGAATACCGTGGAGCAACGAGCCAGTCGGCTGAGACGTATTTTGAGCGGGCGAAGGTGTCACAGGATGAAGCGTCACATCTGGATAGTTCTGTGGTACCTTGATCGATTCACCTAAACACGAATAATTCCGAATTGTGCTTCCTCGACGTTCACGATATAAATTCAATCAGTCTAAAAATCCGAGGAAACATTACCTTGCTGACTTATCTTAGCAAATTGTACTAGCATGTCCTTGAAGTTCACGGAGTCGCTCGCGCTTGGGTTGCTCTTGCACGATTCTGTGCTAGACGGTCTCGAATCGGCATTGTGCCCAGTTTCGACCATAGCGCCTCCAGCACCTAAGTTGATGTTCACGTTCGAATTTCTCATCCTTCGACCTCTACAATTGAAAATTATGCTTAACAATCCAAGAAACAAATAAACAAAGCTGTCTTCATGAAAGCGTTAGATTTCTTAGTATCATACAAGTCGGTTGCAGGCTGCAGTACAATCTTAGAAACTTGCTGTTTCTTTAATTGTTAACTTAATCAGAATCTTATCCATTTGAAATTATATTTGCTGTAAAAGTTCTAACATAACGAATCACATTTAAATTACATTTCTCGAATATTATAAAAAATCGTAGTGCATTCATAATCGCGCTAATTAGTGTACAAAATTGTCTTCAAATATTTATAAATAGTTAAAAAATTGAATTTTACAAAAGTTGTTGAAGGCCTTTTTTAATTTTGGCAATATGAGAAAGTTATATCCTCCTCCTCCCCCTGGTCATCCCCTTTTTCATTCTCTCACTTGTAATTAATTACCTTCTTGGTACAGTTTCCGGGTGCTTGAGTCTATGATCGGCGATAATAGATCTGACATCTACTATCGCACCTTGACGGCCTTCTCCAATCTGCCGGCTTTCCAGGCTCAACGCGTCACTCTGCTTGCGACTACTTTCGCCATTGGTTTTCGGTGGAGTCACCCGTTGCTGTGAGATACCTCTCGAGGTTTTCTCTTTCTTCGAGTCCGGAGATCTCTCGTTTAGGTCCTCCTTAGATTCGAAAGATTTCTCCCTCGATACCGAAAGGGTGTTACTGTTGTTCTCCCATTCGGTCGAACTCAAAGACGACCTGGTGAGCGGCAAATTCTCCGACGCCTGATCGTTTTCCATGTAGCGGGTCGTGTTTATCTTCCTCTCGACCCTCGTATATGCCTCCTCCTTGAGCTTCCTATTCCGCAAGATCTCATTCCATTCCATTTCTTTGGCATGTGCTAAGTTTTCAAGAGACTGCGAATAGAAATATAAATATACTACTGCTTAAGTTTTAAGCATACACACACACACACACACAATGCTTAAAAAAGTGATTCTACTTTTAATGAGAGATCGCAGCTCCAAGTACTCACCAAAATTTCGGCTCGCAATTCATTGGCCTTTGCCATGAGGTCTTCGAGGTTTTCGTCGTCGCCCACAATATTCAAAATGTGCTCCTCTCGTGAATAGTTATCGCAAAACCTCTTCCTGGGATACCCTAAGGTCAGCTGTCCGTTAGTGGACTTTCGTTTCTTTATTTCGACGGGCTCGGAGCCCGCTTTAACGTGGCGTGGCTGCACAACGTCACTCGAAGTCGTCGTGCTCTGCCGCGATGTGCTTGCAAGCAACTGCCTGCCCTTCGGGTTCTTCGGGGTCTCGTTGTCGCTGGACGACTCGTTCTTCTTGCTGCGTCCGCGACTTGCCGACGTCGCCGGCGCCGCCGCGGTTTCCTCCGGAAGGGCGGCGCCGTTCTGCTGGCTCTGGGGTACTTTCGGCGACGGCGACGGCGATGTCGATGTCTTGTCGTCCTCCGCGGTGTTCACCTTTCGCTTGTTCTCGGCCGAACCCTCCATCGCGTGCATCTTGTTCAAGCTGCCAACACACAACGATGCTTTCATTAGTAACAGAATTCCTTATTCAAGCCCACTTCAAATCTGTAATTCGCGTCAGAGACTTCAAGATCGAATTCCATTTACAATTTTACGCACCGTCTAACGCGGAAAATATTTGAAGAATAAAATGTAAAATATACATTGAAGCATGTACAAAGCAAATTATGAATGCAAGCCTATTCTAACAATAAGATCTAACGCAAATTGTCACATTATGGATTGTTCCAGGCAGGCATCAAGAAGAGGATCGTTGAGTTCTTTGGAATCAAATCGAGTGATTATTGTTGACAAGAAAACAACACGAATCAGGTAGTGTTCATAAATATAACGATAGAATATGACTATATAGAAATAATTTATAATATTAGAAACATCAGATGTTTTAATAAAATATCTCTGACGAGCAAAAGCAAGTATGTACAAGTCATAGTCGGCTTTCTCCAACTTTCTTGACACGAAGTTTTTGAGAGCGCGATACATAGTGCGGCTATAGAGTGAAATAAATCGAATGATACTTCCGGTTTTCTCGCGCAAACGCGAGGAAATGAAGTATTTCGCTTTCGCTCGCGGTAATAACGCGTTGTCCGCTCAACGAGTTTTGTGCAAGTCTCAGCGTGTACGACATAATAGAATTTTCATGAACATAAGCTTATAACAACAGCAGATTGTGTATGATTAAATAAGACTGTATTCTCATGGGTATATCGAGTGACACACTTTTCACTTTACATTGTTCAGTCATTTGCCCCGTTTAAAATTTTACACTGAGAAAAATGTCCGATTAAATATAACCGGATAATCCAATTACACAATAACAAACGGATACATCCATTTAAATTGTATATCCGATGAAAAATATGTTACGTTTGTCAACCAAATTTCATCCGAGTGCACTGAGTAATAATCGCCTATAACTGTTATATTTTTCGATCGAATTTATGCTCCGCATTTCCAGATTTCAATTCCCACGTTCCTACTTCTCTCTTCCCTTCTCTTACTTATCTCGACTCGTGGCGTTTCATCACTTTTGGGGAAATAACTTGACATTTCCTATACGGATGAGATCGAACTTTTATCCTGTTCGAGGGAAATCGTATGGTGGTACTTGCACGAGTATACGAGCGTTTCTTTTCAGACTCTCAAGTCTAGAAGGTCGATTCTACAAAACAACCGTTCGCAAGACGATGACATTGATAAACCGATAAACATAACGGCGCAGCTGGTGTAGGAGCCTCGGTCGACCTTGCCTAGAAAATAGTCGTTCGCCGGGGGCTTCAAGGACGACGGCGCGACGTGGTGGTGAACCACCACGTGCGCGCCTATCGTTTCCCCGCAATATCGCGGCTCTTATACGTGTCTTCACACGTATACCGCGGCGTAAATAAAATCTTCGTATCGCGACCTGATTAGCCGGCCGCTATAATTAGACGCCACGCGGCTCAATCGGCGCACCGTCAGCGTCCCGATTAATTAATGCGCGTGAGCATCTTACGGGCGGGAGACGCGAGAGTTTCAGCAACGTCACCGTGCGTAAGTTTCGTGTGTGTGGAAAGAATGTAGGGTACTCTACAGTCCGCATCCCTCGACGCGTTCGTCAATCCTATGAAAGTTTTGCGAAAGGGTACCGGACGAACAGGAATGTAAATAAATCTGGCATCATGCTCGCTTCCTCATTCAGAACCAGAATTAAAAATTTATGAAAAATCTTGAAATCTCTCTTTTTCTCTCGTTAAATGCTGTAAATTGCGAAATTCCTCGGGTCCTTCGGACAATTGTACGGTTTATAGCGAAACATAGCGAAAAGTGTCTTTTTCTTATTTTAACTAGTTAACTAAATTCTCTCATCAACCCAATTTGCCTAATTAAAATTAGACAAAATTGATTTGTCCAGTAAAATTTAATGTGATTTACATTAATTGTGCATACGCGTTACGTGCCGAATATTGAATAAATAATGATTAATGAATAACAAAAAATATTTCTGTACCTGCCGTTGAAAAGATCGATGGCATTGCGATTATATTATATGTAAGAAAGTTCGCTTCTTTTAATGCAATCACTTCCGAATATTTTGACAAATATTTTTCGTGATATTATTTGTATTACGAAAAATGCTTTAAAGCAGATATGACTATCCATTTGTAATGTTGCACTGATTCAGTAGAGAGAATTAATTATAGATAGCGTACATGTTGCATTAATGATTCTTTCATCATCGAATTTTAATTAATAAATCTTAAGCAGTTACAACCTCATTTATGGTCTATTTTTACTAATACATTTTGTATTACTAAAAAATTACGTCGTCGTTTAACGGATTGACGATCTTTCTTTTCTTTTCCGAAGTTACTCCGAGTATTCAATACTTGATTTGCCTAGTTTTCACACGTGCAAACCACTAAGTCAGTGTCCCAAAAATATAGTAAAATACTACGTGCCATGTCGTAGGTTTTCCTACAACAGATGTCTCGCACCTGAAAATACGCCTGAACAAGAACTCCTTCATATTGTCAAAGACCCTGGACGTGATTTATCGGCTGCTGCTGATGGTAACTGCTGCCTTCAGCTCAATTGTGCATGGATCGCAGATGATAAACCGAAATGGTCAGAACAGGGGAACAAGCGGGCCAGATTCCACGCGAGAGTATTGCTAGATATACTATTGTAAAAATCTGGAGTAATTCAGAAGTGGTGTACAGTTGCATCATGCCGTTGGAGAACGGCTTTGAATCGTATGTACATTCTTGTGTGGAATCTGGCCTTTCCGTTTTTTCTGACCTGACTGGTCCGACCTGACTATCGCAGAAACATCTTCAACAATAGCCAAGAAGTCCTCGAATATCTTCGGTTCCGTTAGGGATATTTTCAACATCTGCTGTAGGGCTACAACTTGGTTGCACAGCAACTTTTGGACACTGTTTTGAAGGTCATTTCGTGCACCGAGAAAAATGTCTGATTAAATATAATCGGATAATCCAATTACATAATAACGAACGGATATATCTAACTAAATTGTATATCCGATGAAAAATATTGATCATTTTGTCAATCAAATTTCATCGGTAACTGCATTTCATCGAATGTATCCATAATTCAATCGGAAAACGTAATCGGAAAAATTAACCATCGGAAACACTATTTAATCGGTTTATCCAATGGGCATTTTTCTCAGTGTGGTCTTCAGATTCTACCCAATGAAATAACTGTAGAGAGTGTCACGAGATCGCGCTCAAAACGATTTTAAATATGAGATCGAACTACGAACCATCTCTGTTTACTGTACGTATACGAGATTAGAATTGTTGACTAATGATACGCAATATTTGAAAGCGCGCGTAAAGTTAACGGTCTTTTGTACAGTCAGACTAAACGGGTGTGAACAGAATACACTCTTGTTTCTCTTCCTCCTTTCGAGGTCCTTTGCTCGAAGGGAATTGCTCATTCGCCTTTCCCGCCGTTTCGCGGGACGAAATTTACGAAGTGTTTATTACAGATTTAAAAAAAAATTAATGAAGTCATCTGACACTGCCGAGTTGACACCGCGATGTTATCGGACGCATTTAACATTCCTACATTGGCTGAGTATTAAGCGTGATGACTCATGCCACGTTGACGCTATCGCGGAGTATATCCTCGACGTCGAGCACGACGTCGCCACGTCGCGTCGCATCGCATCGTCGTGTCGACATCACGGACGAGTCGCGATGTGAATTAGAGAAGTTTATTAATATCTGATAGTTTTTATTGCACGAAATATCGAGTAAAAATGTGTGAACGGAGTACGCCGAACAAAAATACCTTCGAACTCGCTAACTGAGCCTTTTCAAACAGGGACGTTAATCCGCGATGTAATTCATTAGTTGAAATTATCATCGGGCGCACTGGGTCTATTGTTTGCAGTTGCATTATGTCACGTTTTCTACGCTTGAAATAGAAACGTAATTCTAATTCCTCCCTCGCGGGAGAAAAACAGAGGAAAGATGAGAAAAATTCAATTATAGAGAACAAATTATATTAGTTTTGCTTCAAAAATATTATCGTTTGAAACGATTAGATTTTGGAAAACGTGTCCGATAGATTTAAAATACATATATCAAGCATAGCCAAACTCAGCGCTAACACGACTGTATTTTTTTAGCATTCCACTGCAATGTACTACATTTTACATACTATTTTTGTCCTTTCTGTTGTCATAAGAAAGTATTCTTTCTGTTGCGGTATCGACAAACGCGGGTCTTATATGAAAAGATTTTTTTATAAAATTACTCTCCAAAAGTCAATCAGTGAATTATCATTGAAAACGGTGAATATTCACTGATTCACACTTGTAAGTATAGCACTGAATAATTCAGTGCTATGCTTATGACTGTTTTCAGTGATAATGCACTAATTGACTTTTAGAGAGATACACGACGACAATTGGATTGCAATGTTCTGCACAATTAATTGCACAATATCTTGTTCGATATTTATTCGACATAAGTACCTACTAAGCTGATGAATATATTTATGCTTAATTTTTTTCCCTAGATCTCGACACTTTCAATATACGAGCGACACGTGTAAAATGGGTTTCAACTCGCACGCACGAGGCCCAGATCACGCTTGATGCGTAGAGAGAGACGGTGAGAAAGAAGAAGATTGTGAGAAGGGATGTGGGATGACAGTCGGCGGGAAGGGATGTCGAAAAGAGGAAGGGAGAGCCGGAGGGGGGGGAGGAGAGAGAGAGAGAGAGAGAGAGAGAGAGAGAGAGAGAGAGAGAGAGAGAGAGAGAGAGAGAGAGAGAGAGAGAGAGAGAGAGAGAGAGAGAGAG